GAGGAGAGGAGAGGAGAGGAGAGGAGAGGAGAGGAGAGGAAAGAGAGACACGTATTATAAAGAAGTAAGTAAAAAAAGTAACAGAGAGATATACACTAAGCCAATCGTTCATACCTACGTACCAATATGTTGTATACACAGCAACCAACCACATACATAAATATACATATACATATACATATACATATGAAAATAAAAAGAACAACCGCACGCATCCAAACTAAAATGCAAAATACACTTTCATACATACATGCATATTCACACATCTTACATAAAAAAAAAAAAATACTACCGTAAATGAAAAAATAAGAAAAAAAAAAAAAAAAAGAATAAGAAAAGCAAAGAAAAAACCTTCGACGACAAATGGCCGATCGACTACTAAACGTGTGTGTCGTGCACGGTGTGCCCCCCAAAAAATCTGTCCGTCGCTTCCGAGGACTCGAGGGAATCCATCCTTGAGTGTAAGAATGAGAGAAATGAAGAAAATAAAAAAGTGAGAGTGAAAGAGTAAGAAAGAGCGAGAACGAGCAAAAGCGTATGTATGTATGTTTGTTACGTGTGAGAAATAAAAAGTAAAAATTAGAAGAAAACAGCATACAGAGAGAGAGAGAGATAGACGACATAAGAAGATATGCATGAGTAAGAAAGAGAATAATAGAAAAAAAAAAAAATGAAATATTAGACGAGTATAAAAGAGATCTCTGAGTGAGTTTAAGAGAGAGACAGAATGAGAGAGAGAGGAAGAGAGAAAGAAAGAGGAAGAGAGAAAGAAAGAGAGCGAAAGTAGAAGAGAAAGAGAGAGAAAGTGTGTGTGTGTGTGTGTGTGTGGTGTGTGGGAGAGAGAGAGAAAGAGAAAGCTATATATCGGAGAGGGAAACTGAGAGGGAGAAAGAGAGAATAAGAGAGAAAGAATGAGAGAGAGAGAGAGAGAGAGAGAGAGAGAGAGAGAGAGAATGAGAGAGAGAGAGAGAGAGAGAGAGAAAGAGAGATAGAGGGAGATAGAGATAGAGATAGAGATAGAGAGAGAAAGCATAAGCATGTTTATTTTGTTTGCATTTGCGTTAAACTTCCGTCAAGTTTCTGAATAGTGCATTTCCTGTAACTTGATCATTACCACCAAGTACAGTCGGGCAGTAATCATGACGATTATTAATAAATTGCGACTAAATTCTATATTATATTTTCCTTTTTAATTATTTTCTACTTTTTATTATTTTTCTTTTTTTTTGTTAATTTTTAATTTTTATTAATTTTCTCTATCCTTTATTTTTGTTCACTATTTTTTTTTACACGCTTTTCTTTTATATATATATATGTATGTATGTATGTATGTACGTATGTATGTATATTGTTCTTTTTCTATCTCTTTTTCTAAAATGATTTAATAAGAATAATGATAATAATAATAATAATAATGATAATAATAATGATGATGATGATAATGATGATGATCATGATGGTCATGATGATGATGATGATGATGATGATAATGATGATGACGATGATTACGATGACGATGACGATGATGATGATGATGATGATGATGATGACGATGGAAACGATGAAAACGATAAGAATAGTAAGGATAATAAAATATAATAAAACTATAAACCGAAAACTCTCTTTTCATGTGAGGTAGTTGGCTCTCGATTCTTGGAGCTCTGTTTTTGTTTTTGAAAGTCTATGTATATGTTTATGTATTATTTATGTATATAAATATATATATATTATGTACTTATATATAAATGTATACATATACATATACATATGCTTACACTTATAAATACATATACGCATAAAAAAGAAATTATATCGATTTGAAATATCTAACGAAATGGATCATCATCGTGTTAGGCATTGATCAAATCAGTTTTAAAATGAAGTTAAATCATTGATCTTTTATAAAGATCCCTTTTATATTGGTTTGTTATTTAATGCATTGACATTATTAATTAATGTTTATGCAAAAAAGTACAAAACGAAGTATCGTGAATAGAAAAATATTTACGAAAACGATCTGTCTTCATTGATCGAGAAATATATATATTTTCTTTTGCTATGTAACATTTTTTATCTCGCTCTCGGAATTCTCATTCTGCTGTTAGAAATTTAAATATTAAAGTATTAGAATTTATAATAAATAAATAAATAAATAAATAAATATAAATGAATTAAAAAAAACAGAAGAAGAAGAAGAAGAAGAAAACGAAAAATCTTATTC